CAGTAGCTGTTCCTTGAACAAGCTCCACATTTCCATTGTGTCCAGCCCCTGCAGGTTCCTTCTCCGTCCTATGCATCCTAAATCTTGCCTCATCGCCTCATAATTGCCTTTCCCCCAGCTATAACTCATGCCCTGCGTTATATACCGATCCCTTTCCATCGCTAAAGTAAACGTAACCGAATTGTGGTCACTATCACCAAAGTGCTCACCTACCTCCAAGTCTAACACCTGGCCTGGTTCATTACCCAGTACCAAATCCAATGTGGCCTCGCCTCTTGTTGGCCTATCTACATACTGTGTCAGGAAACCCTCCTGCACACATTGGACAAAAACTGACACATCTGAAGTACTCGAACTGTAGCGTTTCCAGTCAATATTTGGAAAGTTAAAGTCCCCCATAACAACTACCCTGTTACTTTCGCTCCTATCCAGAATCATCTTTGCAATCTTTTCCTCTACATCTCTGGAACTTTTCGGAGGCCTATAGAAAACTCTCAACAGGGTGACCTCTCCTTTCCTGTTTCTAACCTCAGCCCATACTACCTCGGAAGACGAGTTGTCATCAAACGTGCTTTCTGCCACCGTAATACTGTCCTTAATAATTCAGGAAGTGTAACAAACAAGAGACATTCACGGAAGCTACCAACTCTTCTGAGACGCCAAAAAGCTTATCATGTTACTGAGAAAATAAAAGCAAAATCCAGAAATATGGATCTGTGAGAGCTGGCCACACTCATTCAGGCTGCTTCTATTGTTCATTTATGTCTTCTTCAAGTTGGCAGTTTGGCGATGCTGCCTTTCAAACTCTCCACCTAAAAAATACAGAACCAAGCAGCCGTTTACAATGATAGTATCGTCTCATTGCTGCGTAAAGGTGCCTGACGTTCCAGTGTAACAACGATATGATTAGTAATACTCCAGTACTCTACATTGCATTAGTCTCCCTCTCCTCTGTTCGTTTCACTACATGTGTGTCGTGTGTGCGAAAGTGTGAATATTCAACGTAAGAGTGAAATTATCAGTTCGGCTCCATGCTGTAATTTACATAAAGCTCCCTCTCCTGCTGTCAACCATCTTGCATTTACAGATGTCCCCTGTTGGTCTCCCGAAGTATCACTCAGAGCTGTCCTTTTCCCCCTCTCTGGGCGTGTCTGTCTCTCTAGTCTGAGTTTCATCTTCATTTTATGCGTCTTCTGGATTCTCGTGGTATCAGTGAACTCAGCCTTATTTTGATTGGAGAAACGATGGTGGAACCAAAAATAAAACAATACATGATGGTATTTCAACATTTTTCATCCAAATTTATCGAGCATTTTTTTCAGCTGCACTTTCACTGTAGTTACTTTCTCTATCGATTAAATATTGCTCTCTTGGTTTAACCAACATGGTGTGTAAGAGGTCCCGAGTATTCGCTTTTTGGTTCGTGTATCTGTTGGAAGTATAACAGATACACTTAACGCTCTGGCCTGCTTTGCACTACAAAGAGGAGAACAGTTTCTTATTTCAGTGTTCTTCTTCTGTCAACTGGACATGACGATAAAAATGCGATGAACACTGATTATCCTCATTATCCTGAATTAATAGAAATGAGGTTCGATACATTTGACATTCCTTGCGGCCATTGATATACAGAGGTAGTGTCCGCCCGCTGGGTCAAATGGATCCGGTTTCTAGCTTGAATTTCCCTAAAGATATGGATAAAATCTCTTAACATTTCGTTTAGAACTTGGGTACATACTAAAGTCTGACCAATTATGTTTCATGTAATATTTTCAGATTGAAGATGGGTGCTTCACGATATCCCGTTTCGTTCAGTTATTGATTCTCCTCTTAAAGGTTGCAGTAGTTGAGGTGGTGAGCGTGTCGGTATAGCTCCTGTCTCACCGGGGTTTCTGTACAGGCTGTTCATTGTGTTGTATCACGATGATGATAATAGTGCAGAAGTAGATGGCCTTTCCACCCTCTTGATGTTGCTGATGGGGTGCTTGGGGAACAACTTAACAAGTAAATGTGGAGGAAATGCAGTTCAAATTCCTTTACCAAATCGTAGTTTAACCTGAGCCCAGCCTGACACTTCACAATTGATGTCTGTTTTACCATTTAGCACTGAATCATGGAGAGTCTGTAACTCAGGCACTCTCCTCTATTGTTCACAAAACGGACTATTGAAACCTCCAGATGATACAAGCCCGGTACATGGTCTTTCCATGTCGACTTCAGATATAAACATATTTATCATTTAGATTGTTTGATAAAGTAGACCAGATTCTGTTCCCTTTGAGAGAAGAAATGTCCACTCATTTGTGTCCTAAATTTGTCACTCCTTATTCTGCGATTTTGCCTGTCACTCCTCGAATATCTCAAAGGGTGAAATAACTTTTCCGTGTCTGCTCAGTCGACGTTGCATTGCACGTGTTGAGCACGTGTGTCTTGAAAATGTGCCTCTTTACTCGAAAGAGGGACACTACCATATCGTTACAAATTCCCCCCCTGCAGCTCGCTCGCATACTGACGATATTCTGATATTGATAAACACAAGGCATGCTTGCTCACAATCATTTTGCTGCCGCCCTCAGCAAAGGAATAACGCAAACTAATTTTATTTTACGTTAACGATATTCGAATATCCAGCTGACATTCATAAATTCGCTGGCGATATTCTCATATTTGTTTTACCCGTTCACTATTTTTGTTCATTTCCTGTCATTCTGAAAAGTCGTTTCCACATCTTCTATGTCAGTTTCCTGAATTAATAATCTACAGTGTGTGAAAAGAGTACATTTATCAATGTGAGTTTCTGTGTCAGGGATGGTTTGTACACAATGCACAGATCTCATAATGTAATGAGGCTGATTCTTAAAACAGACGCAAAGTGACGTTCTCTTTTGTGGCGGGTTGTATTTCAGATGTCTGCGTAATGCTGCAAAACCCGCTCAGTTGCTTGATTTGTTCGTTATAATTAACAAACCATACATTCATCTCCACTCGTAACTCTAAAACGTGTACCTATTCCTATTCGAACCCCACTAATGTAGGACATAATTAATTTGTGTTTGTCCACGACTTGACGCCTGCAAAGAAATGAGTTGAGTAAACATTCTTTGTGCGAATCAACATCAGCAAAATTTATCGGTTTCCAAGCGCGCTGAGTGAAGGGATCTTGTGGCTTTGTGGTAGTGTTCATATTTGTATCAGGAAGCTCACATTGAAGTATTACATAATCCAGTGGTGTGTCATGAAATATTGACTGACTGATGCAGAAAAATTGTTTCCACCCGTAGGTAAAACTACGAACAGATGACATAATATCCGAATAAGAAGTCAGATCTTTATAATCCAGATGAGGAGAAATTTCTTGTCTGAGAGTGAAAGCAATCTGTGGAATTATTTATAACAAAGTTTTCGTGTTAAATATTTTCAAGTCTGAGTTAGACATGGAGCAAACATATAGCCTGTCTTTTAGCTTCTGGAGGTTGCAACAGTCTCACGCGTCAGAACTGAAACATAAGATTCTGAGAGAACTTGATTAGAGAATGTGTCATCCATGCGCTGATCATGTCTGTCTTCTCCACACTGATCGTCTTTGCAATCCCCACATTTACTCCTTTGCAAACTTTACAGTGGACATCTCTCTAATAGCCAAACTACCCTTCCTTCTCTGCATATGTTTGCTAACGCTACTGTCAGATTGGATTTGATGTCTGCTATTGCAGTCCCTCTGAAAGATTCCCTGGCGATTTTCTCCGTGCGATTGCAGCAACTTCAGGCCGACAACTGAGGGTGGCACTGTCTCACTTCAAATCAAGTTGAAATGCTACACAGAAAGTCATTGACTTTGTGAAAGCACTGACGAACAGATCTTATCACACAGAGAGATGAACGTTCTTGCACAGAAGCACACGTGCGCACACAATCTTGTGCATTCACTTTACTGCTCGAACTGAAGATCGGGACTTGCAAAATTTTTCATACATACAGTGGTTCCTGCCATACGAGGCCTCTGTGTTCAGCGAGTCAGAAAGAACCCACAGAGGGGAAGAAGGAAGGTGAGACTAAGCTCATAAAGGAAAGCTGAGAGGGACTAGCAGAGAGTGAGATTGATAATCTTGAGCCTGAGAACAGAGAAACAGCGAAGGACGAGCAGCATAAAGGAGAATTTAGTGAAAGTCATAATGGAGATAACGCTGGATAAGGATGAGTTTGGATCCTCTAATGTAGCATGTGGAATTTGAGAGTTTGCAATTCAGGAGGACGCAGTTATCGTTGAAAGCAAAGGGGTGGCGTCAGCTGTGTACCTGCATTCCCACAAACTGGTTAAAAAGAAAAATTGGCGTCAACTGGATATTTGGTCGATGAAGAGGATAAAGGAGTCTTCAGGGTAAACGCTTAAGTGATTTTGGGAATTTCTTATCATGAATGCAAGTTAATCTTTCAGAGTTCTCGATGCTCCATTTTAAGTACAGTGACTGCAACCAACTAGGGATGTGTCAATTCATTCACTGTCTACTGTCTTCTTCCCGCCCACATAGCATCACCGCCCACACAAGGCAGTGAGGTGGCAACGTCCAGTGATACGACAGTTTTTTAACCGCAGGCGGGGTTACAGAATCAGTGTCTTCAAATATCCGAGTGCGCTATTTCACACAGGACAGCGACAATGCGGATTCTCTTCATCTCGGTTCTGTGGGTAACAATTCTAACAGGTAACTGTGAACATTCCACATTTCTTCAGTAAGTTATAGGTGAAACTGACCCGAGCCTGACAGTTTCCAATTGATTTCTGTTTTTCATTTCAGATCTGAGTCATGGAGATTCTGTCACTCAGTCATTCTCCTCAGAAGTTCGGACAGAAGGATACGGGGTTACTCTAAGTTGTACCTATGAAACTACAGCGAGCTACTATGCATTATTCTGGTCCCGACAGCAACCAGACACACAGCCTGATTTTATTCTGTTCAAAGATACTATTGGTTCTAATGATAAAGCAAATTTTGCACAAGATCGTTTCTCTATGGAACTTCAGACCTCGAAGAAATTCACAAGTTTGACTATAACTGGGCTACAGCTGACTGACACTGCCGTGTACTACTGCGGATTCAGGAATGACACAGTGAAGAGAAACAGTCGCATCGCTGTACAAAAACATCCGTGAATCATAGATGGGCTCTCTATGGGAGTCTGTGTAAAACCAGTGTTATTGCAATGTACTGTTACAAATTTAAAATTGCACCGATAGGAAGCTAAGTTAACCACGATTCAAACTGTCACCCAACTGTTTCACGGAGCCGCTGAGAATATAAACTAATAGATCCAAGCGCTCACACAAACCAGAACAAAGTCATATTTGAAAACTACCTTTCAAATCCCCAGTCACAACAATTTTCTGTCGTCTTACCTGCACATAGTGAGCTTGGACAGAGCTGTACATTTACAAGATTCGCATAGCTTCCACACATGCCAGGGAGCATTAAGCATACAGGAGATACGATTACAGTGTAATCATGGCGGACTTTCAGAGTGGCTGGTTTGATTTTATTGAGAGAATAGTGCATCAACACTCCCATCATCGATGTCATCACATAGAAATAATGTTGAGAGGGTGAAGAGCATCAAGTCACTTGGAGTGACGAAAACCAATACGTGTCCTCGACATTGCACGGAGATGCAACAGTCAAGAAGGAACAACAACACCTCTTCTTCCTCAGGCGATTCGATTGAAATTTTGCATGCCCATGAGGTCCCTCAACAACTTCGACAGATGCACCATCCGAAAGTGTACCGCCCTGGAGCTTAACAACCTGGAATTGCAAGCTTCCATCATGGAATCCATTTCGCTGGTCTCTGCCGCACAAGGTCTACCATCATTATCAAAGACTGATTGAAATCCGGTAATGATCGTCTACAATCTCTTCAATCAGGCAGAAGTTGATCAGCTTCAGGAATAGCTTCTTCCCAGCGTTATCAGACGGATAAATGAACTCTCTGGACTCAACTAAAGCTGATCTTCCTCACCTGGCTCTCGCCTCGTGCGCATCCTGTCAAATAAAACCTGTATGCCTCTGTCTCCCTATTTTTGATCTGTACACCATTTGCTTACTGTGATCTGCTTTTATGGCTCGTAAACAAATCTTTTCACATTAGTTCAGTACACATGACAACGCAATAATCATAATAAAACAATCTGCTGAGAGCACAACATAGCGCCCTCTATCTGTGTGTGCATGTATGTGTGTTTTTGTGCATTTCTGAATTTGACTATGAGTATAGAAATGTGTGTGAATGTCTGTTATTGCACAAGAGCAAGGGCAAGCCAATCACAGGGAGGACAAAAGCATACAACACCATTCATACTGAAAGCATCAACAAATCTAAGATAGCAGGAACGGCAGATGCTGGAGAATCTGAGATAAAAAGGTGCAGAGCTGGATGAACACAGCAGGCCAAGCAGCATGAGAGAAGCAGGATGGCTGACCTTTCGGGCCTTGACCCTTTTCTGAAGAAGGGTCTAGGCCCGAAACGTCAGCCTTCCTGCTTCTCTGATGCCGCTTGGCCTCCTGTGTTCATCCAGCTCTACACCTTGTTATAACAAATGTAAGACATGGACAGTGTGCAGCCTTTACTCCGCTCAGCTCATATGTCCAGCTGACATTCACAAATTCACTGGCCGTTTTGTAATGGTTCCTGTGTCCTTTACTTTTCTTCGTTCATCCAAGTGTCATTCAGAACCGCGCCTTCCACATCTCCCATGTCAGTTCCCAAGTGTAATAACGCACTGTTATGTAAAATGGTAATTGCTCTGTGTTCGGCTCTGAATCAGCAATGGTTTGTACACACGGGACAGATTTTGAAAATGTAACGAGCCTGATCCTTAAAGCAATCACAAAGTCCGATTCCCCTCAATGGTGGCTTTTACTTCAGTTGTTATCCGAATGCTGGAATACTTGCTTAATTTCTTGGTTTGTTCATTGCAATTAACAGACCAGACGTTCATTTCCACTCCTAAATTCCAAAGTGTAATGAAGCATGCTTTGTGTTTATTATCATCAGAATACTGTCAGAATATAAGCGAGTGATGTGGATGGTTCTTGTGATGTTGTTTTAGTGTCCCTAACTTTGATTGCTGGAGCAGACCTTCAAGTCTCAATGTTGCAAAGATACGTGATGGAAAGATGATGGGGAAGAAGACACGTAGAAGCAATCTCAGACTAAAGAGTAAAACATCCAAGAAAGAGATGAGGAAGTATTTCTTCTCTGAGAGGGAAAGAATCTTTTGTATAATTTATTACAGAGTCTGGGTGCTAATTATATTCAAGTGAAAGATAGGCGTAGTAAAACTAGATATCTTTGGCTTCCATCTGGCGTTTACAAGAGACAGACGTGATTGAATTGAAACATATAAAGTGCTGAGTGGCCTTCATTAGCTGCCTCTTTACAAATATAATTCACACGATGAGGTTGTATGTGCTCTCCGGACTTACTCTCTGTCTAATTGCCGCACAGAACACGCTGGAATCTTCACAGTGGCCGAATTTAATCCATGTACTTTTTTTGCATGTGTGTGTGTTGATGCATCTGTGAGGTCAAATGCGACTGTTTGCTACTGATTTTCTGACTGATTCTGTGACGATTTTCACTTTGTGCAAGTGAAGTAGCTTCACAGCACCAGCTGAGGGTGGCGCTGACTCACTTTAAACGCAAATTGAAGTGCAATTTCAACATTTTAAATAACATCGAAGCCCAAAAATATATCTCGCATTGAACAGAGAGACACGGGTGCATGCTCGCTCGAGTGGATGCACACACATATAAAACACGTGCGCGCGCACCCACATACAGACAGACAGACAGGCCCTGCTGGAATGGGAGATCCGTAAAGTAACAATGACATGTAAAGTGATTCTTGTTCTATGAGGACTCTGCGTTCAGTAAGCCCGACAAACACTGACAGATGGGAGCAAGGAAAGTGAAACTTGCGCTCAGTGAGGAATGCTGAGCGAAACTAACAGAGGGAGAAAGTGATAATCTTGAGCCTGAGGGCCGCGATGCAGCATCAGAGAAGGAGAATAAACGAGAATCTGGTAAAAGTGATAGCAGAGATACTGTTGAGTTAATGCTGTGATTGAGTCCAGTGATATCGAACGTGAGATAGTAATTTGAGAGCGGAGTGTTTGCGAATCTGCAAGGATTGTGTGTAGGTTTGGAAAATCAGGAATGGCGGTGTTGCAAATTTAGGTGCAGCCATTAATTGGCTAAGATAAAGAACTCGCTTCAAGTTGGGATGTGGGACAGAAAAAAAGAAAGAGAGCCTTGAGAGTAAATTGTACAGTGAATCTGGGGAATGACTTGTTCAGGATGGAAGTCAACCTATCAGAGTTCTCTGTTCTCCATTTTAGGTACAGTGACTGTAATCCATCTCGAGATGTGTCAATTCACTGAGAGGCTGCTCTCTTCCTCCTG